TATATATATAGATATAAAGAAATTCAAAATATAGAGTAGCGTTGGGTTAAGTAAGTAAAAATAAGTAAAGAAAAAAAACTACATATTTGGCGTAGACCATAAGTAGATTGGACTAGTCTAGTGTAGTCTAAATGGTAAAAAATAAATATTAAGCTGTGGTGACTACGCGTCCTTTATAGTCTTTTAAATATATAAAAGTCAATAGATATTCTTTAATAACTACATCATTTTATACCCTAAAACACTGTGTGTTGGGGTATTATAAGTTTGATAGGGCCAACAATTATGTAACACCTCGAAATATTGGTTTCCCACATAGGAAAGTATATATGCATCTTCCTAACTCACCGAGCTGAGTCGATCTAGCTATGTCTGTCCCTCTGTCCATGTTAATTTGTAATCACTCTACAGGTCGCAATTATGGCCCAATCTTCACGAAATTTAGAATGGAGGTGGGTCCAGGGCCAGAATAGAACCGTATTGCTTTTGGAGATAATGGCATAATATTTAGTCGTTGAAATGGACCAAAAAAAAAAATTTAATGATTTTGCTGTTGCTCTACAGGTCGCAATTATAGACCAATCGACGCGGAACTTTGCATGGGGCTAGAGCTAAGGGCTGGGCAAAAGTCCATCAATTTTGAGGGTCATCGGGTAGTATTTAGTTTGTGAAATAGACCATAACTTCTGGTTTTGTATGCTGATTTCGTTGACGAATATAGCCAAATATCGTAGACAAGCATATCATATAGATGAGTCTAAATTTAGAAATACAGAGGAGCCTCTTGCTTTTGGATATTATTGCAAAATATTAGGGGTTCAAATGAACCAAAAACAGAAAAACAATTCCTGATCACACAATTCAAGCCAATCGACACGCCTAAAAAGAGAGTTAAGGACAGGGATGAATTCTAGCTTTTTTAAGGACCTCTGGATTATATTTAGCTGTAAAATAGAAATGTCCCAGATCAAAATGCTAAGGGTAATAATTGGACAGTGCTTCGTGACATAATTTTAAAAGTGAAATCTTCCAACATAAGTGGGCTCCTAACATATTGTAGTGTTGTGGGGTATCACAACGTCGGCCCCGCACGCCTATAACGTTTGCTTACTTGTTTAAAATATACTTTTTTTTAATTTTCGTTATGAAAATTATAAGAATAGATGCTCTCCAACAACATATTTTTCATTGTTTTGAACGATTTTTTTTAAACCAAACTTTAATTATTCATTCGGTGTAGCGGTACCTTTTTTCGCTTTTTTGAATATTCCAGTCAACACTTCCATTTAAAATCACAGTAAAGTTTTTGTGATATTAATGAAAATATTTCAACTTGTTGTAGATCTCCTTTTTGATGATGCGATTCATGAAAATTGGGAAATATTAAATAAATACTACTTAAGAAACAAAACCGATCCATAACTTATTTAATATGTTTAAATTTTTATAAATTGAAAACATTCTCTTGGTTTTTTTTTTTTTTTTTGAATAAATTTAACTTTCAATTTTCAATAAAAATTTCAATTTTCAGTTAGTATGATGTTACCCATACGCAATTGATATATGTATATTGTGTGTACGCAGATACAGTGGATATATTTCAAATGAACTGTGTCTCAAGAGCCCATGAACAATATAGTTGTGCCAAATTCAAATTGTGCAAATTCTATTATAGGAATATATAGAATAGAAACAGTATGTGTTATAGAGAATAGAAATATAATAACATATTACTCTTGTAGAGGATATGATGCCCATATCAATGGCACTGAAAGGGTGCAAAAGTATAATACACAAGCATAACAGTGAAGCTAAGTTTGCTTTAAGGAACTTCTACTCAACGTTCTTCCTAAAAACTAAGATCATTTATCAGCAGTGAATTGCATACAAAATATAGGATAATACGATTCTGGTCTAGACCTACTCTCACAAATGGAAAAATTAATTAATTTAATTTAAAAATTAAAAATATTTTCAACTATAGAATTTAGTTATTTTATAACATTCTATAGAATCCTTTATTTTAATCCATAATTGTTATCAATCTACAGCTATTAAACGATTATTAAACTTCATTTTAGTATTAACGCAGCAAATACGTTAATTGTTAACTTTTTGTATCCTACAATAATATGTATTAGAGGTATTATAAGTTTGATTTGTCCAAAAAATTTGTATAATAAATATTATTTTGAACATAGGCCGAGCTTAATCGATCTAGCTATGTGTGTCCGTCCACCCATATAAAATGTGGAATTTTGCATGGGTTAAGAATATAAGACAGTGCAGAAGCCTAGCATTTTGAAAGGACATCGGTAAACACCGAAACGATCATAGCCGCCATGAAATTGTCTCACTTGGCATGAGACAACTCGCCACTGCTTATTCCTACATTAAATAGATTTGTGGCTTGTTGTCCAGCTAATCGAGCCGGCCATGCCATGCCATTCTTAGCCATACATATGTACAGGGTGAGATGAAAAAACTGCAACCAACTTCAAACTGCTGTCATTTCTAAGTCACTCGTTCGATAGCTGTTAAAATTATTCCAGTGACAGCTCATTATATTGTTTACAACCGTACAAAAGCATTTGGCGAGAATTTTCCAGAAAAAAGTTATTTGTGATGGAATTCAAGCTTGATATTTGGCTGGAAAACCATAAGTGGCTATCGTTAGAGCACTCCAGCATTTAAATGTGAAAAAATCTTTTGTGTCTCGTACCATCGCTTGTTACCGTGATACTGATAGCATATCCCGACGTCAAGGAAATGGACGGAAGAAAACAGCAACATCAGCAGAAATGTTTCGAAAAGTAAAGAAGCGACTTGATCGAAACCCGCGTCGCAGTGGCCGAAAAATGGCTCGTGAGCTGAACATATCGCAATATTCCATTCGGCAAATATTGAAAAATTAACTCGGGGTAAAGCCATTGAAATTCCAAAAAGGGCAAGAACTTACACCGCAACAAATAGAAAATAGTCTCGAAAGAGCTAAAGAGTTGCTTCGCTTGGCCGAAGGAGGGGAACTGCCGAATTGGATTTCTCCGATGAGAAAACATTCGTTGTCCAGCAGTTTGTAAACAAACAAAATAATTGTGCTTACTTGCCAAAGAGGTCAGCTGAAAATACGTACCTTCGGTTGGCCACAAGAACTCAAGCGCCGTCATGGTGTTGGTGTGGGCCACCATAATAGCCGATGGTCGCTCGTATTAATCGACCGTGGCATCAGAATAAGTGCCGAATATTATCGCGGAAATATTCTGGAGTGTGTATTAAAGCCTTGGGCACGCAACCATTTTGGCCGCAGACCTTGGACATTTCAACAGGACTCAGCACCACCACACTCAGCATGCGCCACCCAAGAATGGTTTCAAAATGAGGTTCCTTGCTTCAGCTTGTGCGCTTCCTTCCAGCCCACAATGGCCACCAAAATCTCCGGATACCGATCCGTTGGACTATTGTGTCTGGAGTATTTTGGAAAGCAAGGTTGGCACCAAAAAATACCAAAGTGTCGATCACTTCAAGCAAGCGCTTCGCGTGTGACGGTTTCCTTAGCCGTTTGAAAGCCATAATTCGTGTCAAAGGTAACCAACTCGAACAAATCTAAACTTATCCTAAAGTTTTATGCTATTTCCGACATATTTTGCTTTCATTCAATAAAATGTATAAAAAGTTAAAATTATGATGTTTGACTTTGTTGCAGTTTTTATATCACCCTGTATAGCATTTGGAAGCTTTAGTAAGTATTTTGAAAAACTCCGCCTTTTGTCTCACGTTTGGTACTTTTTATGATTAAGTGGCTCTTAATATAATACTCCTTTGTAGCTAACTCTTCAAATTTCGATCCTTTCAACCCAACTCTATATCTTCGCATTTAATAATTTTGTTATTTCAATCCATAGAACATATTAACTTCAGCAATACCACATTTTTGTAATTTTAAGTACGAATATCTAAAAACTCTAACTCTCCTAATATCAACAAGTAAAAAAGCAGTAAGTTCGGCCGGGCCGAACTTTGAATACCCTCCACCATTTGGATCGAATTAGAAAATTTTCAAAAAAAATAAAATCCATTAAAAATTCGTTTAAAATCTTTAAAATATCTAATACAGGAAGGTGCCGATATGGGGGGATATACGATATTGTGGACCTATAAAGACAAATCTATGTCTGGGTGTAAGGTACTCACAAGGAACTCCTTGTGTGGATTTTCAAAATACCGAATATCGCGGGGTATCGTTATATGGGAGCTATACGTTATCGTTAACCTATATAGAGAATTCTCTGTCGGGGGGTAAAGTGCTCACAAAGAACCCCTTGTGTACAAAGAACCACTTGTGACCATTCCGTTGAAAAATATGGCTAAAAACATCAAAATACCGAATATCGGAGGTGCCGTTATATGAGGGCTATACGATATCGTGGACCTATATAGATAATTCTCTGCCGAGGTATAAAGTACCCACAAGGAACTCCTTGTGTGGATTTTCGGACAATTCCGATGAAAAATGTGGGTAAAATCATAAAAATACCAAATATCGGGGGTACCGTTATATGGGGGATATACGATATCGTGGACCGATATAGCCCATCTTCGAACTTGACCTGCCTGCAGACAAAAGAGAGATCTGTGCAAAATTTTAGCTTCCTATATTAATTCGTTTAGACTGTAGCGTGATTATAACAGACGGACAGACGAACGGACAGGACTAAATCGTCTTAGAATTTTACGCTGATCAAGAATATATATACTTCGTTGGGTCTAAAATGATTATTTCGATGAGTTAGAAACGGAATGACGAACTTAATATACCCTCCATACTTTTTTGGTGGAGGGTATAAAATTATAGACCTAATCTTATACCTATAGTAAATTTCCAAAAACCTCCAATTTTTGATAAACAATTTTATGAGATATTCATTATATTAAAACAAATAACAAAAAGAAAGTAACAGCAACAAATAAATGTTTAACAAAACTTATTTTTAAACTGCAACTCATCCATAGAAACCACCGGGGTAACCGCCATAGCCACCATAACCTCCGTAAGGACGACCGCCAAATGGACTGCCATAATAACCGCCAGGACGTCCATATATACCTCCTGGGCGACCGTAGAAACCACCGGGACGACCATAACCGCCATAAAATTGTCTTACTTGGCGTACTTTCTCATCGCCACTGTTAATTCCGGCATCTACATCAAATAGATTTGTAGCTTGTTGGCCAGCTGAACGAGCCGACCATGCCATGGCCAGAAAACAGGCGAAAATAGTTAATAAAACGAAACAGCGCATCTTGGACGACTTCTTTTTGCGATAACTGAACGTAAATGTTTGATACTCTATTCTAAACTCTTCGTGGTTTATATATGAAAATTAGTTTTATGATTTGCTTAAATTTTGGCATAAATTTGTCAAACCAATCCAATGAAATTTGGATGTTAGATTTTGATATATGCTAAAATGGATGCAAAAAAAGATGATCACGAAAGAGTGGATCATTTTGTTTGAAGATGCTAATTATGCAAATTTTAGTTTAGGCGTGGGCTAAAGTGTGTTAATCATTCCATGTGAAAGATGATTATTTCCGAATATGTTGGCGGAAATAAAACAGTTTGATTTTCACACATATATTTCAAGGGCAATTCCGTATTCAATGGAGGGGAATAACCATTCGATTGAATGTTAGGGAATGTTAGATAGTGGCGTGTGTAAACCATAAACCGTTCGTGTTTAGTTTTATGCAAATTCTTGACATTTCGTCATTTAATTTTATTTATCTATACTGAGTCAATCTCTTCTACAAATGGGTCAATTAAATAATCTTATATAATAATCTTTAAATTTTGGGTAAGGGTAAATCTTGGGGTGGAGGTGCTAGAAATGGACGGGTTATTCGAAATTCATCGTATAAGAGTACGAAAAATACAAAAAAGCGAATGGGAGATCTTGGAGCTTGGAGTTTTGTACGTAGGATTGTTAATGATGATTTTAGCGACATTATAGACATTATTATTACAAATAATGACTCCATAGCAATTTCTAAATAGAAATAAATGTTCATGGCAAAAATTGTAATACATGTTCACCTACCATCGGTTTTAAGATTTTTTTTTTAGATTTTTTTGATAATAACATCAACCTGTGCTGTAAGGTGAAAAAATAGCATGCGATAAAAATATGAAAAAAACCAGTAAAGAAAGTCCTAAAGCGGGCGGGGCCGATTTTATGATACCCTACACCACTTTGCTAATTTAGTTGAGCTCCACTTAATAATTAAAAGTTTTTATGGGAGAATTCAATCATACACGCTATGATTATAATTATAATTTAAAATTCAAAGGACTAAATATGCCGAAGCATTTGTATCTTTTAAATTCGGACTTGTATTGCCCATTTGGTGCGAAATTAGTTTGAAATCGGATAAAAATATATATGGGAACTATATCCAAATCTGAACCGATCTCGGTAAAATTTGGCAAAGATATTTCTGAGCTGTATTTGATATGTTTCCCTGAATATCATTGTTACGGAGTGCATATTACGGCTGTGGGTAACAAATACAATAAATCGAATGAACAATATATATGGGAGCTATAACTATATGTGAACCGATCTTCACCAAATTTGACATACTAGCTTCACTCAATTCGATCGTAAGTGCCAAATTCCATCCCATTTGGACAAATATTAGACTTTTGGTGCACAATAAAAGGTAAATCGGACAAAGTTATAACCAAATCTGAACCGATCTCGATAAAATTTAGCAAATTTATTTCTGAGCTGTATTTGATATATTTCCCCAAATATTGCTGTTACAGAGTGCATATTACGGCGGCGGTGGACAAAAATAATAAATCGGATGAACAATATATATGGGAGCTATAGCTATATCTGAACCGATTTCGATCAAATTTGGCATACATATTTTCAGGCCTAATTTGGGTGTATATGCAAAATTCCATACAATTCGGACTGATATTACACGTTTGGTGCACAATAAAAAGCAAATCGGACGAAGATATATATGGGAGCTATATCTAAATTTTTACCGATTAGCTCCAATTTCAATAGGGTTCGTCCTTGGGCCAAACAAAAGATCTTTGCAAAATTTCATCTGGATCGGGCAATAAATGCGACCTGTACTTTGTTTACAAAAATACATGGACAGACGGACGGACGGACAGACGGACGGACATGCATAAATCGACTCAGAATGTGATTCTATGCAGATCATCAAAAGGAACTATGGGTCTATCTCGTTTCCTTCTGCCTGTTACAAACAAATGCACAAAGACATAATACCCTGACCACCTTGTGGTGTAGGGTATAAAAACGTTCGTACACAAACAAATATTGATTGTTTTTTGCTCATTGGTTATCCTCTTCTGTCCATCTTAACAGTTTTTAAGCTTGGATGTCAAAATATAAAAACATGTGAAGATTTAAACACAAATAATAATCGTCATAACTTTAATTTACACCGACAACAATAAATTTTACAATAGACATTTTACATACATTTTGTCAAAGGTTTGCTCCACTGTAGCCATGTAGACATCAATTTTTTATGGCGCTCAGTCGATTTTGATGGATTTTTTGTTTAAGTTAGTTAATTTTTTATCATTCAACGAAGAGCAAGTTTGTGTTTTTTCTTTTCTTCTTTGATGTAGATTTGATGCGTGGGTGTTGTTGTTTTTATGCAAATTCATATTGACCGAAAACACTTTTGTTTTTGGTTTCTACTCGCCTTTTTACTGAATTCTACATCAAATAGCCATATTTCTGGTCAAGTTTAAATTTTTAACTGAAGTAGGTATTCTGCTGACAGCTGTTAGTCAAACCAGCCGACAAAATGAACGAACGAACGACTGAGCGAAAAGAGTAAAATATTGATTTATTGTTTGTCTCCATTTACTGAAAAAAGAGTGAAAAAAATTAACTACCAGATTTGCAGTTTCAGCTTAACAAGTGACGATGTCACTGACTGCCATTGCATATGACAGGCATGTCCAGACATGGACACAGGGCGCCTGATCCGTCTAATACACACTGCTACTGCTGTTGGATGTTTTAACTATTGATGTGGAAAAAACGTGCCTGTATATTTGTTGAATTTTTTAAATGCCGTCTATTTATTGAATTGCAACTTTGTTGAAGGGATTATTAAAGATAGAGAGAGAGAGAGAGAGAGAGAGAGAAAGAGAAGGAGAATGTCGTTTATTTGAATGTGATTTCATATCGATGTGATAGGTTTTAGTTTAGATTGACTTTAAAGCTTATATGAGAATGGATTAGATTTTCAAATGTCAATATGTGATTTAAAGTTAAAGTTTTTAGAGGAGTTTTTATATCCCGCAAAATTATGTGTTTGGGGTATTATAAGTGCGATTGGGCCAAATATTATGTGACACCTCGAAATATTGATCCTGTTTAACGGTTTTGGACATAAAGGGGCTTGTAACATATTGTAGTGTTGTAGGGTATCACATGGTCGGCCCCGCGCGACTATAGCCTTTGCTTACTTGTTTTAATATAATCATTCTCCATGTGATATCATGCACTCTATAGCAAACAATAACTGTTCTAAATCCAAATATTGATAGGTGGTATGATCTACTGAAAAAAATCGAATTTGAACAGAGTGAAAGTCAGATTCGGATTTAAGCGGGAGCGGTCCTGGGAGCGAAAAATTCAATTTATATGTTTACTAGCTGGCCCGGTCCGCGTTGCCGGCCCATAGTTTTTGTCTATTATGCATATTTGTCAAAGCATGATTATTCAAAGATATGAATGTTATAAATGTTCACGTACTGGTCGATTAGTTTTTAATTTTTAGTCAAATGAGCAGTAATTTGGAATTTACTGTACTTTGTACAACTCGTAATTGAGGGCTAATTGATTTAAGAATAGGCAAAGTTAATTACTTTTTTGAACCCATTAGCACCTCAGATTGTGCATTAGAGTCCTCATAAGTCCCCCTAACCATGTCGGTCTGTTTGTCCGCCAAAAGGTGGACTTGAGGGGATACTATTACATGGAGAAGATCCTAAAATTTGTAGATATGTTGAAATTTTTGTGTAAGATTTTCATCCCCAAATACTCATTTTTAGCCAAATCCTTTGAAATATGGTAAAATGCGAAACATCGACCTACATTGAAAACTTTCTTCACCCCTTATAATCCAAGATGACAAATAGAGGCCAAATCAAAAATATAGCTATTTTACATCTATTACCGTAAGATAGGAATTAATTTTATTTGCCATTTAAATTGTAAGTTGGAGTCCATATTTTTCATCATAGTATAATTTAATGACGATTCAACAAATATTCGGTCCCGTGCTACTTTCTTATATTTGTAATTTGTTCATGTTTTCACAATTTATTTCATATAGATGTATATCCCAAATCTACGTTCCCAACCAATATTCTCTTGGGGGTTACAAATTCAATAGAATACAATTTTTTCTTTTCTGACCACACATTAGATGTGAAAGTGGACTTGGGGATACTCCAATGTGGGGACTTTACATGAATAAATTTCTATGTGGCAATTATCTGTACGATGGTTCCTTACCCCAGGGTAGCATAAATAAATTTTTTTAGTGGTCAAGACCAATATGGGCCCTACTCCGAAAATTTTATGCGAAGAGGTTCTCTACGCCCCTTAGAAACAAAGATGCAAAATAAGGGCCAAAAATAGAAGAAAATGGCGAAGACTCCAAAAATGGCTTAAATCATACGATGATTATTTATGATCGATATCATGACCTGCTAAAGCGATTTAAGGTATCTTAAATGTTCAGGCAGAATTTTTGGAAGGATAGAAATCCTTTTCTTACTAAAAGTCCCATTCGCTCTACTATTTTGCACCCTTTATATTTGGTATTTTACTGATTGTACTCCCAAAAATTTTTGCATTTTGAGCTCTCATTGGACGGATTATTGTCACATGAAAGAAGTAGGGCCACGCTTTGAAATCAGCCCCATTAGTCTTTTTCGGTCATTTTTGTTTGTTTAAATGTCTGCGCATCTTCCAGCTGAAGCACGATGTAGGCCCTGGAGTTGAAAGGTAGATGTCAGTTACCATCGTATTTCGCACTTATTTCATTTTTTGGTGAAAAATTGTATATAGTGAAAAATTATTCTTTATTTTGTTCACAAAAAATCCACTGAATTCAATATGATATTACAAATTGAAAAAAATTGGCAAAAGAAGAATAACAAATTGAAAAAATCTTTAACTTGTTCGCTGATTTTTTACAGCAACTGTTTAAAGATCCTTACAAAGTT